ACACGTTCCGTACATCGCAAAACAATGTGGAACGACTTTCTGGAGATACTGGACTCCCGTCTCGCGGTCAAGAAGCGCTACGACTCTGCAGAGTACGTCTCCCTCAAGGCGTGCGACAGCATTGCGGTTAGCATCTATCCTGTTTTTGTAGCAGGCACCTGATCAGCGTTACATGCAGTGCGGCAAGATCCAGCCCAAAGCAAAACTCTTACGCTGCTCCTCGTGTCAAGCGCACTATTATTGCGGGCTCGAATGCCAGAGCACAGACTGGAAGAACGGCCACCGCCAAAATTGTGCCCCATTGCGCCTTCGGCTCGGTAAGATCACGCTGTGTTTCCTTTCCCCTTCCTGACTCCGCGCACTCAGGTGCCCCGGACTACCTCGGCACCCGCACCCGCTCGTTTCTGCGCGCGGTCCTGCACGCGGACTACATAGAACACCAAGCCTTCATCCTCCGTGCACAACTCGACTACCTCATCCAGCACTCACCCGAGGCGGAGTTCTACACACTCTTCAGCTACAAGGGTGCGTCCATGGGCTTGAACGTCTACCCGACGAGTGGGCTCGACCCGCACTGGGACTATGAGGCCGGGCGTGCGGCACGCAGCGAAGGGCGGATCGAGATGCACTTGCTCACGGTGTCAGAGGATGAAGACGAGGACTGGGAGAGGTTTTTCCCGCTACAGTCTTCGAATGGGATGCTGCAGGCGGGGCTGAGGCGCATCGCAGCTGAGACCCGAGAGGGCAAAAAACTGGATTTGGACGAGGAGATTAAGGCGCTCATCAGCGCGACAGCAGACGTGATCCATGTGCACTAACCTTGTCGAGTTATCCGTATCGCAATCACAATTTTTCAACCAAACACTCGATTGTCACGTTCGACTGTGTAGTGAAGTTACAGCCCCGATGCTTCACTGGGTGTTTTGGTCCGTCGCATCCTGACAATCACAACCTCAAGATCGCTAGATGCGAGATCGGGAAGAGGGTACATACATTCTCGCGTTCATTTCCGTCGGATCTGTGTCAACGTCAACCGTATACAGAGGCGCATACCATTATCGGGCGTTGTGCAACCGCCCACCGCACCATATTATAATAGTAGTAATATCATTGTGGACTTGACACGCACTGCGGGGTCCGATTCCCCGCGCCCGAGTGCAGACTTGGACTGAATTCCTTTTTTTGGCGGCGGAAAACTCCTTGGAAGGATTGGAACTACACGGTTCTCCTCAAAAAAAAAAGCCGGCTCTTGTAATAGGCAGGCCCCAGACCATAATCGCCCGGGGAAGATTAAGTGTGGCGGTTTGGTTATGTAACGTTCTGTCTGGGCAACAGCAATCAGTGAAGAAAAGCCGTTGAATTATTTTGCTCTACAGAACAACACCATACAATCATCCCGCCTCCGGCGGGTCCTTTGTATCCTGCACAGAGTGGTTCGAACCTGTGCAATACATTGCGCGACCTTTGTGGCGCGTGTTTTCTTTGTGGCTAAATCCCAACTCGGCCTGCGCTTTGAAGAAAGAAGGGGGCCCGGGAAGGATGAATACAACGAACAAAAAAGGGGACGCCCAGAGGTTCGAACGCTGGACCGCAAGAAAAAAGTTACCTACAAAGGCCCGGCAATGCAAGCTACAGTTTACGATGGGCTGCCGGGCAAGGTGTTGGCAACGAGCACTGTGGGTGATAAAAATCAAACGCAGTCGGCGAGGAGGACGACGGAAGCCAAAAAGGCTGGACGCACAGGGGTTTGAACCCTGGACCGCATACATTGTTGTTCTAAGTGGGCGCACCGAGCAGGGCCCATGTGGCACCATACGCAGTGACAAGGATGAGTGCTAGCTAGACGGTATGGTAGGCGAGGGATCGGGGCAGTATGGGGATGGCTCGGAAGTATGCTGTGAGGGGGTTGTGTAGAGTAATTTCTCGAGACAAGACTTATCTGTGTAACAAGGTTCGTATCAAGTTGCGAGAGAGAGAGATGAGAGAGAGAGGTAGAGAGAGAAAGGAAAAAGAAAGTATAAAAAGGGGGGAGGTCGGAGTCTATAGGGCGTACCGAGGGAAGCGGCCGGTGTCTCGCACGAAGCAGAGAACGGGCTTGTGTTCCGACTTGGACGCGAGGAGGTTGCGGAGGGAGAGACGGGCAGTGCCGAGCTTCATGACGAGTTTGAGGCGCTCGCGGCGGTAGCGCGGGCACATCAGGAGGAAGTGGGGGACTGTTTCTGGGACGAGGCAGAGGGGGCAGTCGGGAGAGGGCGCGAGGTGGAAGCGGTATAGGAAAGAGTTAAGGCCGATGTGGGATGTTCTGAGTTGTGTCAATGTACTGCACTGCGGGCGGCTGAGGCCGGCGTACATGCGCGTGATGGCGTTGGAGGGACGGGGACAGTCGAAGAGGGAGATACGGCGGTACCTCGAGGAGGTGCTCCATTCCTCGAGCCATCTCGCCTTGAACCCCTTCATGCCGGCCTCGAGAACCGCTGCTTTGCTCGCGGGGAGAGGGCGTTCGAAGGTCCTGACGCGGGTGGAGAGTGGGGAGGATGCACCTTGCGCTGCTTCCTTCGCACGAGCGTCAACGGCTTCGTTGCCCGCGATCCCGATGTGTGCAGGGACCCAGTGGAGGCGGATCTTGAGGGTTGGGCGGGCGCGGAGGAGGCGGCGGTGGAGTGTATGGAAAAGCGCAAGGAGGTATTGGCCTGGCTGAGGACGAGGGGCGGCGAGCGCGGAGATGGCCGGTTGACAGTCCGTGAACACATCAACGTCCGTAAGGCGCGGCGTCGCCTTGATGAGGTCGAGAGCGAGGATCGCGCCTACCACCTCCGACTCGAAGACCGTGTGCGCGTCCTGTCCGCCCAGGTGTTTCGTCCGGAACGCTCCCTCTCCCGTCTCGTTCCACGCCACCGCCGCTGCCCCGACCCCACCCTCGAAACCCGACCCATCCGTGTACACCCGGAATCCACCCCGGCCCGCCACCTGCGCTTCTTCCAGCTTTGCTGAGTCCTTGTCCGGCGCGATGCGCGTTGTCAGCGCACCTATCGGCGCCCGTTCGATCTCCAATTGAGGATCAATGAGCTCGATCGTCCCGTTGAGGAGGGGGAAAGCGGCGTGGAGATGGTGGATTGGGGAGCGGTGGAGGCAGGGGACGCGACGGCAGCGGTCGAAAACACGCTGGAGCGGGTGGGAGGGGGGCAGGGTGGCGAGCCGAACTGCTGCATTGAACACGGATCGGTTGAGGCGTACGTGGATCGGGAGGAGATTGGCGTGGAAGTCGAGGGTGTCCGTCGCGGTCGTGCGTAGTGCGCCTGTGATCAGTTTCGCCGCCTGTCGCTGGACCTTCCCCAGTGCCTTCGCGATCCACACCTTCCCCGTCCTGCGCGCGTCCGTGTTGGCCGAAACGGGGTTATACCAAACAGGGAGCGCGTACTCCATGCGTGGGATAACGACCGTTTGGAAGAGTTGGCGGGTGTAAGCGTGAGGGAGGCCGAAGGTGGGAGAGGAGATCCGGGAGAGGGCGAGGACCGCCTTGGTTCCCCGGCTCTGCGCTAGCTCAACGTGACTGCGAAACGTCAGCTTGTGGTCCAGGACGACGCCGAGCAGCTTCGCCGTGGAGGAGGCTTCGACAGTGACACCGCTGAAGGTGGCGGGGAGTGGGTCGTAGTGTGTAGCGTGCTTGCGCGGCGGAACAAAATGCATGAGCTGAAATTTGGGGAGGTCGAACTGCAACCCAATTCTCGCTGCGCGCGGGCACGTTTCCTTCTCCATGTGCTGGACTATCGTGTGGACGTTGTGCGCGACCGAATAGGAAGCTTCTCCGCGACTGAGGTCGTCAATGTACCCGCCGGTCTTTTCATCCAAGAGTTCGTCAATGTAGATGAGGAACAGGAGGGCGCTGAGCGGCGAGCCCTGCGGGAGGCCGTTGGGGACGGGGCACGGGGGGGAGTGGTGGTCGTCAAAAGTGAGCGTGGTGCGGCGGTTGCTGAGGAAACTCCCAAGGAGGTCGACGATCTCCGATGGGACGCGTTTGGAGCGAAGAAGGTGGAGGAGATGGGCATGGCTCACAGACGGGAAGGCCTGCGAGATGTCCATCAGGAGGAGGCTGAAAACCTTCCCCCCTCTCCAGGCATCTTTCACTTTCTGCGTCAGCGCCAGGAGCGCGTCGACGGCGCTGCGTCCTGGGCGGCCGCCGTACTGGTTGGGGGACAGCAACCCGTGCGCTTCAGCAAAGCCGGAAAGCCAATCAGCTAGGACCGACTCGATCACCTTCCCCAGTCCCTCCTCTTCTGCGATCGGCCTTGTAATAGGCAGGCCCCAGACCATAATCGCCCGGGGAAGATTAAGTGTGGCGGTTTGGTTATGTAACGTTCTGTCTGGGCAACAGCAATCAGTGAAGAAAAGCCGTTGAATTATTTTGCTCTACAGAACAACACCATACAATCATCCCGCCTCCGGCGGGTCCTTTGTATCCTGCACAGAGTGGTTCGAACCTGTGCAATACATTGCGCGATCTTTGTGTCGCGTGTTTTCTTTGTGGCTAAATCCCAACTCGGCCTGCGCTTTGAAGAAAGAAGGGGGCCCGGGAAGGATGAATACAACGAACAAAAAAGGGGACGCCCAGAGGTTCGAACGCTGGACCGCAAGAGAAAAGTTACCTACAAAAGGCCCGGCAATGCAAGCTACAGTTTACGATGGGCTGCCGGGCAAGGTGTTGGCAACGAGCACTGTGGGTGATAAAAATCAAACGCAATCGGTGAGGAGGACGACGGAAGCCAAAAAGGCTGGACGCACAGGGGTTTGAACCCTGGACCGCATACATTGTTGTTCTAGGTGGGCGCATGGCAAGAAGGTTGGCGGCGAGAAAGAAAACGGCCCTGACATTGCCAGGGCCAAATCGATCAATAGGTTCAATCCGCCCAAGCAATGCCCGGGCGAAAGTCGCCGACTCGGATCAAACGCGTGATCCAGAACGTGAACTCACCTCCTTAAAACTCGTCCACGCGTCCAAAAATTGGACGCACAGGGGTTTGAACCCTGGACCGCATACAAACATGGTGATTAGGTATTGCCTAAAACCAAATCCTTCATGCAAAGCATGAGTGATACCACTACACCATACGCCCATGGAGGAGAGGGGAAAGGCATGAGGTGTCGACCGGGCTGTGCAAAGTCGGTAATCGAAATTTCGACTTCAAACCATTGCTGTGTGTTGCTTGCAGTGCCCGGATGGTGAATTATACAAGGAATACCGGTTTTCCGTACGGAACTGAATCGGGAAAGTACACCGAGTCGTATATGTATGCACTGGAGCAAGCGCGAGGCCGAAGTGGAAGGCGAAGTGAATGATCAAGCGCGATCCTCATAAAAATTGGGTGGACTGCCCGCCTTCTGTCCAGCTTAGATATCACATAACATGGGTAGCTGTTTGTCCGCCAGATGGTCTTGATTACGCAGTTTTCGTGGATCAATTGGATCGTCGGGCAAGGGGTAGCGTCAGACGGGTAGTTTTTTACAGCATGGATGAGTTAAATTCGGAACCCGTTGACCATCCTGCAACTCGAGACGTAGTAGCCAGAAGAATCGAGCAAGCAAAGCCAAGGGTTGCCGAGCCGCAAGCAGACGTAGCTCCAGTCGGAAACCTCAGCTGAAGCCTTGTCAAGCACAAGGTCCCGTAAGCCGAGTCTACAACCGCCGCGAGAGCACAGTCGACAGGCACATAGGATTACTCTGGGATCGAGCACGTAGATCTACAGCAGGTGATGTTATCGTTATTTCTCTTCAACCCCGGTGTCCGTTTCCTCGAGCATGGTGCGCAGGACGTCCGTTATTTGCGCATGCAGATTCTCTGAGACGAAGCGATGAGTATCTAGACCTAGTAACAGAGGAAGGGACAGACTAGATCGTGCAACGGCGGAGATATACTCCTCATTTACGATGGTCATCTCCTCGTCGAGCAGTTGCAGTCGTTTGGCCTGGTGCAAAATGAGTTTCTCTTGCGGACGGGAAGCGAGAATCGAGGTAACCTGTTCTTCCTCTGCCTCGGGCTCAGGCAGTGACTTGATGAGGTACTCGACCTGCTTCGCCTTCACGATCAGGTCCGTCACTAGCTCTTTTTTATTCGCTGGCAATGCGAATTTCATCAGTCCCCCCGACACATTCCCTGCCAAAGACACACCTTCAAACACCTCGGGCTCATCGTACTTGTCCGCATTGCGCTGCTTCGTAATCGGGACGTCCGCGCTGACCTGGACGAAGTTGGCGCGCGAGGTGAGGTACGCGATAGTGGAGGACATGATGGTGAGGAGTTGCTGAATCTCGTCCTGGAGCTGCGTTATACGGTCCATGTGCGAGAGCTCCTGCAGCATCGGTGGCCGCCGCGTCTGGTTCAGCGACTCAGAGGTTGGAGCTGAAGGCAAGGCATGAATGCGGTGCTGTTTGTTTGGCAAAAGCTGACAAATGCCAAGCACTCGTGACCTGGACGCGTGGCGCGAAGGGACAAACACGACCAAGCGCGTCCAGAAATTTTCTTTTCCTGTGCTTGGATATTTCCACGCGCCTGTTGTAATACACATGAATCCAGGATAAAATAGAATGAACAGTCGAAAAGTCCATGCTTGTCTTTCTCCACCCTTTCTAAACCCGGATTTGCACCGCCTCTCATTCACAGCTAGGACGATAGTATTGCCGAGTACAAGTTCGTTTCCTTCCAAAAATCCAAAGGAGATCGCATATGACTTCAAGCTGTTGTACAAGTTTACAAGATCGCAGCCGCCCATGGGCCGCCAGGATCGCCCAGGACAAAAATATCTGGTCTATATATCAGCAACGAACAATCAACCCGACACAGCACAAAGGCTCACCGATACACACTCACATTCAGTGCTTCTCGCTCTTCGCCCCCGAAGTATTCCCGGCCTCCAGATCCTTCTCAACAGGTGGTGGTCTCCGCCAACGGTAGATGGCCTCACATACGGCGTCCAAGGCACAAAGCACCAAAACTGCATAGACAGTGAAGACGAGCATCCGCACGAATGCCGCGTACGTATATTCCAGGCCCAAGAGGCTAACGGACGCCAGGAAGATTGTAAAGGAGAGGATGGTAAGGGCGAGGCAGAATAGGATGGATGACAGTAGAAGGTTCCCCCACTGTGTTGGGGTGTCTTCGCGGCTTGCAGGCGCGTGGAAGCTCTTTGCGGACGACATGTCGGGGTGGAGGCTTTCGAATGACATGGCGGGAGGAAGCTAATGCTTAAAAAAGGAGGGATTAGGAGACTTTATCAGCGTCAGGAGTCCGCCTGTCGGAAATGAACCCCTCAGGGGCTCAAAGACCTGAATTACAATGTCTCAAAATATTCATAGGGGGCAGCCGGGACACCTGTTCATTCGACTGACGCCAAAGACGCCTTGCGGTCCTTGGAAGAACAGAAACGAAAATCAAATATCAGTACAAGAAGAAAATGCACGGTATAATGTACTATTCACCACAACCCTGGGGATGGACACGATATTGGGGTGGCGGATCCCGGTTATCCTTGTTGATGGCCTGCATCCAACCTTAGGGTGGAAAAACAGATTAAGTTCCTTCGTGACTGCTTTGATTATTCGAACCAAGAGCACCGGGCTTCTCGGCGATGCTCAGAATCTTTCAACCTGGGTCGATGTGGCCAAAGAGAAAGATTACGTCGCATCGTCGACCATCATTGCGCGGGGGTTAAAATTCTATCGATAAAAGTCAGGCAGTGTTTGAAAGAGTGAGTGAGTGGAGGGATTTCGTCAAGACCCACGAACTGGAAGTCGAGTGAGAGAGCATTGAGTCACGAGTCAAAGAATTCTGACCATGACCGGGAGAGACCCTCGCTGCCAAACAAAAAGCCTATTATCTAGAGGTACCATTCGCGCGGGGAATCGAACCCCGGAGCACAACTTGACAGAGGATCCGTTCAATTGGACCGCACCGGGTTGAGTTATTGGTGTCAATGGGTTTCAATATTACTGGGATGCAAGACACTAATTGAGCATCGAGAGTGAAAGACAGTAAATTCCCTAGCTCTCCGGTGAAAGACTCGGCCAAAATTCGAACGAGAAAGTGTAATTTGCTGCGACGCTAAATGGGGAAATAAATCGCCCCCGAACAAAATCTACAGATCAATGCACATGGATTACCTTGTCTGCTGTCGCCTCGATGAGCGCTTTAACCTCGGTGTACCAATCCAGTTGTTTCCCCTGCCGAATCTGAGCCGCAAGATGCCTCAACCTCGCCTGCAGCATCCCATTCGACGACTGCAGCGGGAAGTACCGCGGCCAGTCCGTGTCCTCATCCTCCGACACGGAGACCAACTGCATCTCAATCCGCCCCTCGCTGCGTGCCGCGCGCCCCGCCTCGTAGGCCCATCGCGGGGCGAGCTCACTTGTCGGGTGCACGTTGAAGCGCACGATCGCGTTCTTGTACGTGAACAGGGTGTAGAACTCTGCCTCTGGCGAATGCTGGATGAGGTATTTGAGCTGCACAAGGAGGATCACGACCTGGTATTTGAGATAGTCCGCGTGGAAGACAGCACGTAGGAACGAGCGGTTGCGGATACTGATATAATCTGGGGAACCTACGATATAGGCACGGTGTCAACAACCAGGAAGGAAAAAGTAACAAAGATTAACTGACCGAGTCGAAGTCGTAGCGCGGCACAGTTTTTGCGGTGACCATCCTTCCAGTCCGCGGTTTGGCATTCGAGTCCACAGTAAAAGTGCACCTGACAGGAGGAGCAGCGTAGGAGTTTGCTTTTCGGTTGTATCTTGCCGCACTAGTAAAGGTTGATTAGTAGCCTGGTACAACACAAAGAATAAATGCGTAAGGACCGCAATACTATCGCACGCCTTGAGGGATATATGCTCCTGGGAATCGTAGAGCTTTTTCACGGCAAGACGAGAATCCATTACATCCACATACTTGTGCCACGATTTCGAAGTTTTACTGGTCGTAAAACGTGTCGTGGCCAAGAGACGTCGAACCTCGGGTAATGAGTGCTCCATCTCCCGCAGAATCGGGTAGTGGGTGAGAGCAGCGGAAATCATTTCCAAAATGTCTTGTACCCGTATGTCAATGCTGTCAGGGTCAGGATCGCGATATCGCGAGCACCGAAGGATTCCAAGTACAAGGCCGGTCCGTACGGTTTCCAGGATTATAGGGTAGCTGTGAGGTCGCAAGAATTCGGAGGATAGGGAGATGATAGCGAACCCGAGTGTTTGATCGACAGACCGCCCGGGACTTTCCCCTGCCAGACGGCAGATTATGTTCGTCAGCGCTGTTACAACCCCTTTCGAGAAGTGAGCATCGCTTCCCATTGTTTTCTCGTTAAACTGTCGGCATTTCGCAAGAAATATGACGGCTGTGCCCAGAAACCATGCAGCGGACTCCGAGGAGCGTGAAATGGGTGCGTGGAGGTAGCGCTTTACATGGTTGAGGAAGACAGTCCCGGTTTCCGATTGGCTCCCTGCAAAGCCTTGGACCCATTCGTGAGGAGAGTTTTTGCCTCGGATACCTCCCCAATGGCGAACAAGTGTGCAGAGCTGCAAGTAGACTTCTCCGTACTGGGGGGCATCTTGATCGTCAAGGAGGACCACCCATGCATGACCTAAAACGACCCCAATTCCCGGTGTGTGGATGATGGTCTCTGCAAAATGGGGGTGACGCGCAAGATGACCGGCGATCAAGAGGAACGTGGTGCAAAGGTCCCGTCCGTTACTGTCAGGCCGAGGAAACCGTTTCCTGTTGGCGTATAAGAGCTGGGTCCATGCCCACACGGCCGGCCACAAGGCCCCACAGTATTGGAGAGGGATCTCAGGAAGAGCGGCGAGGCAGTCGAGCGCCTGTGTGCGGCTCCAGATGGGATCGTCGACGTCAAAAGAGTCTGGCAGCTGTTGAATAGTTTCGACATTCAATGCACGAGTGAGTGCAGGGATAAAGCGGTGGGATTGTGAGGTTCCAGTGCGTATTAATTGTAGCACCTGATTCAGCGCCGACGGGTCGCCATTCGCCACGAGTCTTCCTAATGGCTGTACGACCCAATAATCCAATAGAAACGATCAGTGAGGAACGAGGGTGAAAATACGAACCCACGCGGAGAGT